GGCTGTGGGGTCCCCGTGGCGCTGAGCATCCCCTCAGGACAGAGCTGGGGGCTGTGGGGGTCCCTGGCATCCCGAGCACTCCGCTGGGACAGAGCTGGGGGCTGTGGGGGTCTTTTTGCGTCGTGAGCCGCCCCCTAGGGATAGAGGTGGGGGCTGTGGGTGTCCTGGGGCATTGCCATTCTCTGAGGATAGAAATGGGGGTCTCTGGGGTCCTGTCCCCGCTGTGGGATAGAGTCTGCCTGCTCTGGGGGTTGCTGGGGTCTTGTTGCCCCGTGCAACAGAGCTGGGGTTTGTGGTGTCCTTGGGGTCGTGTTCCCCCCAAGAGGTTAGAGCCAGGGGGCGAGGGGGGCGTCCCTGTCACTTGCTGGCACAGAGCTGCCCCCCTGCCCTTCCGTGGCACTGCTGCTGAGGTTGCTGGGACCTGCAAGCCGAGTTGAGAAACGCCACTTGCCCCCTCCTCTCTGCGCCCTCGCTGGGGCCCAGCCGTGGCGTGGGGCAGGGCTGTGGGGCAGTGAGCGGTGTAAGGGGTGAAGCCTTCTCTGACCTCCTGGTCTTTGTGTCTTTCTGCTGCAGGGATCCCATGGAGTGTTCTCAGGAACTACTCCTCCGCCAGCGCCCAGGAGAAGGCGAGGAGAAATGCCATCTGCGAGAGGACAGAGCTGCTGGAAGGTGAGTCGGGGAGGGCTAGGAGAGCTGCAGGGGTTTCCCTTGCTCAGTGTCCGGGAGGTTTTCTAGGAGTCATCCCGTTCTGTGTAGCCATAAAGAAGATATTTGGGACTGGAAATACTTGTAGCCTGGACAAGGATGTGGGCTTCCCATGGACTTGCTGGCCTCCCTGAGCAGGTTCTGTCCTGTCCCAAGGACCTGGAGGGCCACACTACCCACAGGGAGCATTGAGTTGCTGGAAAACGCAGGGTGGTCCTAAGGGGTGGTAGAAGAGTCCTTCCAGGGTGTGAGGGCCCTGCAGACTGACCTGGAACGTGCTCTGGTTTTGGGCGCTCTGCCCGGGTGAGCTGAGGACATGAAGTCTTTGGAGAGAGGCCCAGTGAAGTGACCAGGCGACAGGGTAGACAAGTGTGAGCGGGTGCTTTTTCCCTTGCAGTGACATTGTTGGGTTCCCCAGGATGCTGGGGTGGGCCACAGCATATGGGTGGATCCTAGAAAGACAGTGGTCAAAGCAGCTGATTGCTGGGAGGAGGGCTGACCAAGGAGGGAAGAAGTCCTTGCGTGGACCCTCTTTTCCTGAGCATGTTCCTGGGCACTCCAGAGGCGAGGCCCTGGGGTAGGACACAACCTTCTGCTGTGCCTTGCATCCCTTCACCTCTCCTCGGCTGTGTGTTTTCCGGCAGTGCTGAAAGCTCGAGTGAAGCAGCTCCAAGCCAGTAATGTCCCGGAGGTGATGGTCAACAAAGTGGAGCTGGCCCCGCTGGGGAATGACAAGTACCAGGACCCCCTGCAGAAAGTGGTGGCTCCCGGTGCTGCGGAGGAGCAACCCGCTCCCAGGGGAAGGGATGGGAGCCCAGCCCGGCCCAGCAGCTGGGTCGAGAAGTTGAAGAAGGAGATGTACATCCGGCAGCTGAAGGTGGAGCGGAAGTTATCCATCGCTGCCTCCCAGCTGGCTCGGGAGGGCCAGGCCAAACCAAAGGCCAAGGCCAAGGCCAAACCAAAGGCCAAGGCCAAACCAAAGGCCAAGGCAAAGGCCAAACCAAAGGCCAAGGCAAAGGCCAAACCAAAGGCCAAGGCAAAGGCCAAACCAAAGGCCAAGGCAAAGGCCAAACCAAAGGCCAAGGCAAAGGCCAAACCAAAGGCCAAGGCAAAGGCCAAAGCTAAAGCCAAGAAGAGCCTGAAGAGCCCAAAGGCCCCAAAGGCTAAAGTGGCTGCTGCCTGGAGCCAGAGCCACGCTGGCCCTCACGGTGTCTATGCCTTCCACAAGCCGAGGGTGGCAGCAGTGAAGGAGGGTGCAAAGGCGCAGTGGCCTCGGAGGGTGCTCAAGGACAAGGACGGCAGCCAGTACAAGATCCTGCAGCAGACCATCCAGTCCAGCCTCGAATGCTTCCTCTTCTTGCAGCAGCCAGAGGAGGCTGAGAGGTTCCTTCTCTTGTACCACAGCTCCCCTGTGAAGAGAAGGCTTTTGAGTGTCAATGCGTACAACATCGTGATGCGTAGCTGGGCAAGAAAGGTACTGAGCTGCGGGCTGCTGCCCTGGTCTGGCTGTCAGGTTTTCTGGGTGGCCGAGGGGGAGAGGGGGGCTGGCTCAGGAGGAAGAGCCTCACACTTGTCGAAGCAGTAGTCACGGTTTTATCTGTTTGTCACATCTGCCTTCAGCAAGTGTTCAAGGAGGGCTTGGCTTCTGCTGAGAGGGACGGAGCTGATAGGAGGCCACTGATCCCTGTGAGGTAGCTTTGAGGGGAGGAAGGGGATGGGGCAGGATGGATGTGGCGAAATTTGAACAGGAGCAGAGGGGTGTGAAGCTGTGATTTGGGGCTGCTGGTGTCTTGTGTCCACAGCCCCCTTCCCTTCTCATCCTCAGGGCTGCTTGCAGCGCATCAACCAGCTGTTTTCCATGCTGGAGTCCGTCGGCCTCCGGCCCAGCCTGGACTCCTACGCAGCAGCACTGGAGTGCATGGGCCGGAACCAGTCATCCACCAAAGCTGTCTGGAGGTAACGCACTTCACCTGCCGCAGGGTGCTGCCGAGCCCCGGGGCAGCATCTCCACAGCCTGCCGCTTCGCTGCACTGGGAGAACTGGGAGCTTGCTCTGGGGAGGAGATGTGCTGGCCCGGAGTTGGGAAGATCTGCCCCTGCTGCATGCATGTCTAGATGCTCTGACCCACTTCTCGTAGCCAGATTTAGAGGCGGGCAGAGCTCCCACAATGGGCCCTCCTTGCCACCCCCAGCTGCTAGGGAGTTGAGATCTTGCAGGGAAAGGAGATGTAGGAGGTGAAAACAACCTTGCTTCTGGCCAGAGCTGTGTCTGCTCCCCCCGGAGCTCCCTGGGCTGGGAGCAGCCTCTCTTCAGTCAGGTACTCCTTGGTTCTGCACCCATCCTGGGCACGTGTCTCCCACTGGCCCCTCAATCACTGCCCAGTAGTGAGGAATGGCTCCTCCATTTATTTTTACAGCACCTCTGTGGAGTTTGCCCTTCCTGGTAGGCTCAGCCAAACAGCTGTTTTTTGCAGGGTGCTAGCTTTCTGGAGGAGTGTGATCAGGGGATTCAGATGGATTTTGTGCAGCATAATGGGCAGAATAAGTGTCAGACCCAAAGCAAGGAGTTGAAGGAGCCCTGTGAGATCTCGGCAGGCTGGGTCTAGGGGCAGTGCTTGGGTCTGGTAGCACAGCCAGCTGCCTTGCCAGAGGGAGAAAGCTTTCTGGTGATCTGCTAATGCTGCACAAACACCCTTGAGTGGTTGAGGGATTTGTCGCTGGCCTCGTGTATCCCTTGGCTGGCTAACAAGTTCTAGATGCCTCTGAGCGAATGTCTTCTAGTCTGCTGATTTAGAAGTGACTGGCATTGACTTTCCCACCTGGGTGTGTGGGTGTTGCACCTGTAGGGCTGTCTATAGGCAGATGTTTATAGCACATCTGCACAGATTTGTCAACCCCAAGCCTCACCAGAGCCTGTGTGTGTTTCCCCACAACTGTTTGTTTGCTGGTGCTGTGTGTGTGGGTACAAGCTCTCGTTTCCCTTCCTCTCCTAAACGTGCTCTCCCAGTTGGACGTGGCAGCAGCGTGGCCTGGAGTGCTAAGCCTGTGCCGGGAGTGTGCGAGATGGGGGTTGTTTCTCGCTCTGCTCCTAGACTGCAGGTTCCCTTTGAGGGTGTAAGATGGAAGCTGCTTGTTTTAACTGGGCTGCTGTGGGGTAGTTTTTGGGGAGAGTGGCTTTGCAGAGATGTAGAGCTGTTCCTCACTGCAGCTCCTGCCTGCCCCAAAACGTACCGAAATGCAGCTGGGGCACACGCAGCAGCAGGATTCACAGCGTGTTGCTGTTCTGGCTCAGGGCACTGTCGCCTCTTGGGCTCTTAATGCTTTTCCAAAGCTGCCAGGGGCTCCCTCCTGCCCATTTTGCTTTCCGTGGCTGATGGGGGCCTGGGGCCTGGCGTTCTGGCTCAGGGCACTGTTTGTCGCCTCTTGGGCTCTTAATGCTTTTCCAAAGCTGCCAGGGGCTCCCTCCTGCCCATTTTGCTTTCCGTGGCTGATGGGGGCCTGGGCTGGGGCCTGGCTGGTGCTGCTGTCACCTGGGTCTGCCTGTCCTCCCTCCAGTGTCACCCGGCGCAGGCCAGGCCAGTCGGCAGGTGGTGCTCTGGGCTCTGCTGCGCCCTGGATCCTGCCTCCAGCCCAGCAGAGCCAGGATAATGTGGTCCTGCAGCATCCTTTGTGGGGCTGGGGAGTGGGGGATCTTGGCGTGTGCAGGGGATTCTGGTCCCCGGCAGCGATGGGGGCTGCAGGGAAGAGAGCTGCCTCGCAGGCGCTGCAGCTGCTCCTGGTGCTCAGGCTGTTCCTGCTGCAGCCCTGCAAGCTGTGCTTTT